CGAGAATTGGGGCATCAAAGTATTAGCCGCGAGACGCTTGATGCACCCTGGTGCACTCGCGGGGTGTCCTTGCAGTCGAGACGCGCAGTCTCAGCCTGGGAAACGCGTTGATCGTTCGAACGAAACAACGAAATTGGGTCTTGTAAAGGCTCTTTCTGCCTTCGAGGAGCGTGGCCCAGCTGATTCAACTTCAGCTGGTACACACGAACCATTGACGTGGAAAAAACAAACGGCGGCTGCCGGAGCAGCGATGAATTCAACCGGCTTAATAATTTAGCGGCACATTCCCGGAGGAGTTCGGTGTTTGAAATTACGTAAGAATGGAAAAAAGAATCGATATCTTGAACCCGTCGCAGTTGTTCCCCCTTGGAACACCACCTGAAAGGCTGTAGCGAGGAGTCGAGGGAGCAGCTGCGAGCATTTACCGTTGTTGGTCGCTGCGAGCCTTCTTCGAGTCTGCCTTTTCATTAAGCGGCTCAGTGCACCGCCGACGTCCGAGCTGCAACCGTGCGGGTCCCTTCGTTGCAACTTCTACCTCAACGGGAACTTTCCTGCGGCTCGCCGGGGCACTGCGAGTGTGCATCGAAAAATATTCAGCACGGTTCTCGTTGCGCAAGTGTTCGGTCCTGGGAAGAACCGCGGGAAAATCCGACGGCCGTGTCCGCGGGACGCATCGCAGTCGCAAGTGTTTAGATCGTTGTTGATGCTGCAGATTTGTGTGTCGGGCAGAGCGATTTCCACGGCCGTTGCCAACGGTAAAATTAGTTTCTCCGAGGAAAACAGTGCCGATGCGATTAGAGAACGCAGCTCGTTATCCGTCACCGTCGACGTAGAACCGAATTGCCACGGAACATATGGCAACGAGTTTCGCGCGATTCCTCGTCGCCGGTCCCCGAGTGTATCCGAGTGCATCGGCAAGGACATTGCGAGTCGGCATCGCGGCCAGCCTTTGATCTTTCCGCGGTCGCGGGTGGGAACCAGTTCGCGCCGGCCAATACTATTTTTGAAAACGGGTTTCAAAGGCCCGCTCCACTGTTTGACAACTCTCGATCATCCGAAGTCGATTTCGGATTTAAGTCCGTGCCGGTTCGCGGAGGATTGCAACGTTGGTTCGACGGCGATTTGCAAATTCGTTTGGCGTCGATTCGCGATTCATTCGGAGATGATGCAAAGTCAATTCGAGATTGATTCGGAGATGATGCAAAGTTGATACGAAATTAACACAGAGATTGATACGAAGTGAATTCTAGATCGATTCAAGGAAGATATTCCAAGTCGATTTCAAGCTATTTCGAATTTGTCTTTGAAATTATTGCGAATTGATCGTGTACACCAAAGCGAATTATTTCCTTCTCCCTCCGACTCTGAACTGCAGTCGAGACGAAGCACGGTGTAGTGCACCGCAGCGCACACCTGTTGCACTCGTTGCACCCGTTGCATCGCTCTGAAACAAGACAAAGCGATCGCGTTCGAGTGCCGGGATTGAAACGTGCTCCGCCTAAGCGGGCGACTGTCATGTTTTCTCTGTTCTGCTTGCTAACGCCGGCAAGTGTTAGCACACCTGAGTGCGCTTTTGTGTGAGTGTTATGTAAAAGCGGTGCGCGATCGCGGAATCCAGGAACGACCCACTGTGTTTTGCGGCTCGCGATATGAAGATCAACAGCAACAAAGCCAATTCCGTTCACCGTGAGTCTCTCTCTCTCTCTCTCTCTCTCTCTCTCTCTCTCGATCTACATCTTTCACTTTTACCTCGATTATCTACGATCTTTACGATCTTCGCGATCTCCTATCAAATATTTTCCTAATAATTATCTTTCACGCACATCGAATCAGAACTCTCATGAATATGTTCCCTTTCATGACGAAACACCATTCAAGTATATATTTTTCAAGGAACTACTACACGCTCGAGTTTCATTCGAATTTTTGAATATGTTCCCTTGTAAGATGGAACACTGTTGGATCATATTGATGGAACTTGAATTGAAAAAATGAAATAAATTATCTCACTCTTCGAAGCATTTACAAACGACAAATCAAGACAGCTGTGAAATAAATCACAGGGAGTTAAGTTGACGCTAGATTGCCGGTGCGAGTCAGTTTGACACATTTACGATTTTATCGATATATGTACACTTAAATAACTTTTCTTAAAACATATGTTGCTTTTTAATGGAATTATGACCAACATATATTTTAAAGAAAATTATTTAATTATTTAAAATTATTTTATATATATGTAATATAAATGTATATATATATACAAAATAATCTTAAATAATTAAATAATTTTTATGACCAACATATATTTTAAAGAAAATTATTTAATTATTTAAAATTATTTTATATATATGTAATATAAATTTATATATATATATAAAATAATTTTAAATAATTAAATAATTTTCTTTAAAATATATGTTGGTCATAATTGGCCAAAATATAAATAAAATAAATAATAGCAATAATCTCGTAAATAAGTCAAATCGACTCGTTCCGGCAATCCAGTGTTAACAGCGTCGTATCGCGTAGATGTCCTAGGATGAAATGTCCTTTCCTGACGTAGGTGGTCATCGAAGAAATTATGTGACAATTAGACGGCTCGTAAATGGTCCGTAAGTGTGACGACGCAACGATATTGTTTATCGTCGATTAGCTGATCGTTGTTGACAACGAATACGTTCCGGTTAGGTGTCATTATTATTCCGACGGTATCCGAAACTGCCACCCGAAACGAACTTGGCAACAGAACAAAACCAGAGACGGCCGAGAGGCTGCCAGCGCGAGTTAGCGTTCGAAGATAGCTCGAACTCAGGAGCCAGAGTATATGAAATAACATGCTCGAGGTGTTTTTGGATCATCTGGAAGCCATTTAAGTTACTGTCACACGGGAAAAGAGCGAAATGCTTTCCGTGAAACGCGTTTTATCTGCTTTCCCGCAAGGTGACCGTCAGATAGCCCGCCGCTTATCTTGTTACCTCACTTTTTCATTGAAATTGTTTCGAACTTACTTAATGGAAAATATTTAAAAATAATTAGATCGCCGGTTTTTCCGCGAATTTCTCGCGGTCGATCGAACAACTATTCCAATTACGGCCGCTATCGCAACTGTAAAGAGTCTTTTCCTGCTTTAGCTGTGAAAGTTACGCGAATAATTTTTGCATAGAACAATTCTACGCACTGTTCCAACTAGAACGATATTTTTGTTGCAGAATTATGAACGTTCGAGCGCGTTTAGAGCGATTGCTTTCGAAGAGTTGTTATCAGTAAATATTAACTATAATTGCGGTCACATTTTTTTACTTCGCTTTTTTCTTTTTATTCTTTTTTTTTTTGTTTGAACCATGGAAGTCGTGTGCGAATGATTTCGTAGACTCTTCTGAACGCGAACATTTAAACATATTTAAGTATCTTTAAAAGGGACGCGTTCGAAATAGAAAGGAAACCAGGATATTTACTATATTTTTCCGCCAACAGTGTATTATTCAAACATGGAGCGAAACGAAGTGCTCGATGCAGAATCGAACATTCCTCTTCCTTTATTAAATTGATTAAGTCGTCGGTGGAAAACGTTGGCGTGTTTCTCGCGAATTCGCCAATAAAATCCAGATTTGCATAAAGATCTGCGGCTTGCTTGCGATTAACTCGGGACTGACGAAAGCAAACCTCAGGTGTATCTCCATACGCGTTTTGCTCAACAGCAGGTGTTTTTTCGAGACGTCGCGTACTAATTTAGCAATAGTTCGCAACGAAGTTGCACTCGCCAGCGCTACACGTAACGTAGAGGGGAAAAAAATCCCTGGCGAACAATAAAGTATCAGTGACTTGCACAATCCCTTCACTTCGGGCACAAATACGAATACAATTTTCACTTAGAGAAATTCCTGGGACACGGAGCGAACGTTGAGGAAACGATTATGCTGCGAATGCCGCAGCTGAATTTCCAGCTGGAAATATCTTTAACATTTACCTTCGGACTTTCGAACTTAGCCACGATGCGCATTCTTCGGATAATCGCTGTTCCCTATGTTTTTCGCGGCGTAGAGTTTTTCCTATTGGAGAGGAAAACACCATCGATTCGAGAATGATCCGTTCAAAATTTACGTCGCAGCTGTGTCTAGCTATCAAAATAATTCCGAGCCTTCGCCGTTTCAACGAATTCGAGCATTAAATTCTGTTCAACGAAAGAAATAGCAACTCTGACATTATCTTCGGTGGAGAAAATTTTAGAAAAGAAAGTGAAAGCTTTCGGAGTTCGAAGGATTTTTATTGCGTTGTCAATCGGAGTCATCGCGATGGGTGCGCGAATTTTTCTGCAGCCAGTACGTCGGGCGATAATCAAGACGGTAACACGAGCGGCGGGTTACTTTCGCTTTCGCGGTGATTTGTGTTTTTGAGGCGAACGAAAGAGATTGACTCGAATGAAAAGGGGTCAACGAGCAAATCTACGGCTGTATCACTTGCGTAACAAGCTGCGGTTAGAGCAGAGCTGTTTCGCTTCTGACACGAGCCGCATCGATTATTTATAGAAAATAAGGGAATCGCCGATAACGTGTTTTCGTGTAGCCGTACGAAAAATCCTACAGAGTTTGTTCACTTCTGCTTACCGCTGCTAGAATGTTGCTTCATCCGTGACACGCCGTGTTAACAATCATTCGCATCGTTGTTTCGCAAGGAATTTGCGAGAGAGACTCGACTGATTAAGTGACATTTCAATTAATAGACGTTCAGAGAAACCGATGTTTTTAGAAACTACATCTTGAAGGAAAAGCTGAATTTTCTATTTTTAGAACTTCACGCTAAATTGTTATCCTTGTATTTGGAAGAATCTAGAGAATCGTTCTATGTGGAAAAAAAACATGTCCACAACTTCTGCGGTCAACGACAAATTCTTAAGACATTCATTTTACTTGATGCTTAACAAATTTATTAAGCAGAAAAATCATCATAAAATTGTGTGAACGTTTTAATAACAAAAGATTATCGTAAATCTGTTGCAGAGAACGGTATCAACACCGGAAGTCAACCAACAATAGTTACAGCGACAAAGGACAGAAGAAAATTTAACCAAAAGGTACGTGTCGCTTCCTGATTATACCGGAAACCGACAAATTCATGTTCCAGTCATCTTTTGATATCCTAATAGCTTAATTGAACACGGTATCCGTCGAATGAACGTTCGAGCAAACACTATTTTATTTGTACCTCGCTTTTGTCTGGATTGCCAATATTTATGCGATTTTCGAGTTTCACAAAGTCGAAGATATAAAATCAACATTCGTAGTCCCGGCGGATAAAACTGTTCAAAGTTGCACGAGAAATGTTACACGATTTTCATTTAATGGCTGTGCAAGGTGCATAAAGATTCGCAGCGGTAATCGACGAATTTATCCGCCGGAACGGTGAATGCGATTTTCGTGAAGCAAATTATCAAGCGAAGCGTTCCGTTGGATTTTATGGGACGCAATTAAAATTTATTTGGTATATTTAACAGGCGAGCGACTTCTCGGACATCGGCGATTGGCCAACCTTGGGCGCTCAAGGAGAGGTGGGTTGGATTTATTTATGGTTTTTCTTGGTGGCTATGTCCTTCTCTCGAGTAACTAACTTTTTCTTGAGCCGATAAACAAAGTAGCTCTGACCGACTTATTTCATTCCTCTGGCACCCGTTATTCTGGTTCCACTCCAGAATGTTTCAAATAGCTCCTTTGGCTTCATCGACTCACATTCCGTTCATAGAGGAGATCTATGAACGATATTATATAGATCATACTTTTTACAAAGAGTTGGTAAGAATTCCTCGCTGCAAAAGCTAGAACTCGTAAAGTATTGTTATGTACCTACGAGCGTAGAACTTTTGCGAAAGCCATTTCGAATGCAGCATCGCCAACACGGACTTCTACATCTGTGAGACCTGGTTGCATTTGTACAATTCATTCGTAGAAATCTACTTTTTACTCATTCTTCGCGGCTTTCTGTGAAAATAATTATCCAGTAAAAGTAAAACATAATTTCTCTCTAGAAAAAGGCAGTCGCGGCAATAGCACCGAAGCAAAATGGTGTTCCCGAACCAAATAGTTGCAAAGAAAACACGGCGACGATAGAAAGCAGAGGAAAGGAGAACAAGGAACAGAATCACTGCCAAGATGACAGCGACGAACACCTGGAAGGCAGTGAAAAGAAAAAGAAAGGTAATTTAATAAGTTCTTTTAGATCGCTTCTGTTGCATCTGTTTCTTTCTAATCGCTACTCAGAGGTATTTAAGTTATTTAAAATATATTTTGTATTTTTCAGTAAATAAACAGAAGTGGGTGCCATTGGAAATAGACATAACGAAGAGCAGAAGTAAAAGAGAGCAGTCTCCAAAGTACTATAATCACAGGGAGAAGAACGGTGAAGGTATGTCATGTTTGTTTAATTTAACACATATTTTTGTTGTGTCTTGTATTGTATTTGAAATGGAGGACTTGTGTGTTCTTTTATTGTTCGTTGTGTTGACACCAAGTCTCCGGCTTTTGCAGAAGCAGAATCGTTTAGAGAAAGGGAACACGAGAGGAGAGGATACAATGCGAGAGGTGGACGTGGAGGGCGGAATTTCAGAGCGAGAGGAGGACGTGGTGGTCGGGGTGGCTATCGTGGTAGCTTTAGGCACAGACACGACCAGGACTATTCAAATTTCACAAGAGACTATATGCAGGTATATATACACATCATACTGTACTACTGCATTTCATAGCAATGAGGCACTAGTATCGCTTATAAATGAACTGAAATTCAGTAAGCGACAATAATACAATGGAACTTTATGCAATTCTACATTTTTGTGGGAAACCTTCAAAAAACGAAAGTCGAGAAAAAATGGCGAAGCATGTTAACTCTTTAACATAGTCTAAATATTTTTGCATAAAGGTTCAAGGTTTAGCTATAATAATTTATCAATGATGACAAATTGATGGGAATCTCTCAGAACAACGCTTGACGAACAACTGAAAGTAGAACTGACGTTTAATGTTCTAAGACAATAGGAGACACGCGTTTAAATAGTTTTGCGTCAATGTATCATATTCGTTGCAGGTGCATAAATTCGGACTTCCAGCTTACATGATGCCTTACATGGGAACATTTTATTTCGATAATACGAATTTCATTAATGGAGATGACTTAACGACGCTCAAGGAATATATCAAGTATCAAATGTAAGTTCCGGCGACTCCTTTGTAATTGTTACTATGATTTTTATCTCATAATCGTGACTTTGCAGAGAATACTACTTCAGCGAAGAGAATCTTTTAAGAGACTTTTTCCTACGACGCAAAATGGACGCGCAAGGATTTTTACCTATTGCATTAATCGCGTCTTTCCATCGGGTGCAGACTCTAACGACAGACATGAGCCTTGTCGTCGAAGCGATTATGGAATCTGACAAGCTGGAGATGTTGGATGGATTCCAGGTATACACAATCCTAAATTGATGCTATCCTGATGCACAAATTTCCAAATCCAGCTACATATCACACATGTACTGGACAAAAATTTGTGCTACAGTAAATTGAAGAGGATTCGCTAACACCATTAGATCTTATCGGTGGCGTTTGAAAGTAGGCCTCGTCACAACCAAACACTTTAATCTACATTAGAACTATTCAATCATCGTACAGATATTTTTAAATAAGGCCTTGTTATTTTTACAAGGTCAACCGCTGCAAATGTGGCCGGAAGATTTAGCGTTCAATTCGGTCCAATGTAGAACCTCCTGCTTACGTACATGATCAGATTTGCTAAATATCATCTTGGTTTCCAGGTCAGAACTATCATAGACCCTCTGAAATGGCCCATCCTCGACACACCCGAAAACTCCTTCTATTTAGAGTCTGACAGATTGAACGCAGCGAAGAACGAAGTAATACTCTTCCCACACGAATCCGATTTTCATCCTGTCTCCGTACCCTTACCAGTGATCCCTATTCCCCCAGTACCGCGTTTTATTCAATACAACCCCGCGGCAGTAGGCAGGCTCAGCGAATCGGAGAGCGTGTCCTCATCGATAGGCGAGAATTTGAATCCCGACGTACCGGAGTTCATACCGAACGAACTAACTAGCAAGAATATCGAGTCTGCGGCAGCGGAAGCAACCGCGAGTGATTCGCAGATGAACGAGACTCAATTCGGTGATTCGCAAAGCATTCCATCGTCGTTGAGCAACCACAAGTCATCCAGCATGGACGACGAAATTTCCGCGATCGGCAGCTCTAGCGACCCATCGGGGGTCAAGGTTAACGGTGAGATGCAGCCGCCGAGCGACGACGTGTGGAAAGAGGTAATTTATTCCTTCCGCTGCACCAAGGCTAATCAGCAAATTACCTATGCAAGACAACTCGTATCTAGATGTAATTTTAATTTGTATAGGTGAGGCGAAGGGTGAAACCGTCGCACAAGGAAAGGAACGAGGAGAGAGAAAAAGTCGATAATATCAAGAGCGAGGAGAGAGAAGAGCTTGACTTTCAGTTCGACGAGGAACTCGACACGCCGCCTCCCACCGGCCGACACAATGCGTTTTCTGAATGGTTAGTGTGCATTTTGTTATCCTGTAGCAATACGAGGGCAATCTATTAACAAAATAATCACGTAGGTCCGAGGATGACGAGGAATACGATTTGTCGGACAGAGATCTAAACAAGCTTTTGATCTTTACGCAAACAACGGTGCCCATGTCGTCGCGTATTCCCAAACACGAGGGTCACGATCGAACGGGCGACTGGACAACCAGGGTAAAGATGACTCAGGACCTCGAGCAGGCCATCAACGATGGTCTGTACTACTACGAGGAAGATTTGTGGACCAAAGATGGTCAAAGAGTAAGTTCATTTTTTCAAGTTGATTTTGATCGGTAATGAATTAAATGATATTCAAATTGTGTTAACGTTTTTAATACCGTTTACAGTATAGTTCCTGTTCGTCAATTGGAAGCTACAAAACTGTGAATGTGATTAGTCAAGAAGATTTCGAAAAGATGGCGCCTAAAGCACCCAAGAAAACGAACCCTGAAGTTCCTCCTCCACCTCCATCGGCGATGGACGACATGGAGGTACCGCAGTCGCTTCCAGCACAGGTATTGTGCTGGTGTTATTTCTCGGTGTTACATGCAAGGGCGTAGGCAGAATTTCGTTTAGAGGAGAGCAAAAATGTTGTGTGTGTGTGTGTGCGTGTGAACTAATTTTACGTAACAAATAAAACAAAAGTTTTCAAGATATTAAGGCGGTCGGCCGCGGTTCCAACTTTTAGATGCTACATTGTACATTTTTTAGATGTTTCATTGTGTCACTTTTCTGCCATTTATTTCTGCAACAAATTTAACTCTGAATTTTAGTTTTTGTTTCTGAATATTGAATCTTACATTAACTTTTAATAAATAATGTATATAAATATATGCTTACGTATTATGTTTGCCGATCGTTGATCACTAGCTAGAGGGTGTCGTAGACCCCCTTGCTACGCCCTTTGTTAAAACATCTGTGTTTACTGATTCTTGTGATGCTAACGCAAATATGTTTTCTTAGGTGCCAACAACTATAGATGTTCAAGAGAAGAGAGATCGTCGAGCGGAAAAGAACCGCAGGAACGACAAGTCCAGGCTAAGCAGAAGCGGAGTAGTCCCGCGATTCTTCGCCGTGGTTAAAGATGAACCTTCATTCGATCCCAGAACACCGCGAAAGAGGAAAACGCGGCATAGTAATAACCCACCTGTCGAACACCACGTCGGTTGGATCATGGATGTCCGAGAGCACCGACCGCGCACATATTCCACGGGGTAGGTCCGCGATATCTAAGGATAGATACTTTTTTGTCCTAACTTGCTGTCTTGCAGAACGAGCAAGCGATTAGAAATGATCAAGTGACCGTAAATAATTTGAGAATCTTTGCAACATTGTAGAAGCAGTGCTGGAACAAGTCCCAACGAAGGCTGTCTGGCAAACAGTTATGGCAGCGTGCCGCAATCTCTTCCTACTTTCCAGCACCCGAGTCATGCTTTGTTGAAAGAGAATGGTTTCACTCAGCAAGTGTATCACAAATACCACTCGCGTTGTCTAAAAGGTAAGACAACCACGCATATAAACTTATTTATTTTTTGAGAATCGAAGAAAGTTCTAATGATGATTCCATTAAATTTTGTCTTCTTTTCCCGACTGAGGAATTATTCGTGATGAGAAAATATAACCTGAGAACTACTTGGATCTATAGAAAATGTGATAAATCTGAACTGAATGCAGGTTTCAGTTATGTTTGTTGTGTTTCAGAACGTAAGAGACTCGGAATCGGTCAGTCTCAAGAAATGAACACGCTCTTCCGTTTTTGGTCCTTCTTCTTGAGAGAGAACTTCAATCGTACTATGTACGAGGAGTTCCGAACTATAGCCAAAGAGGATGCCTTAGAAGGTTACCGATACGGTCTGGAATGCCTTTTCCGATTCTACAGTTATGGTTTGGAGAAGAGGTTCAGACATCATCTTTACAAGGACTTCCAAGTTGAAACTATACAAGACTACGAAAGTGGTGAGTATTTCTCAAAGATTGTACGAAAGCACGGATAGGTTACTCGATTGTTCAGTTTCTCAATGGTTGAGCGGTAATATTGTGCCACAATAAATTATTTCATGGATTCATGAAAAATGTAAAATATGCTAATATAAATTCTGGTTGATAGGTCAATTGTATGGACTCGAGAAGTTCTGGGCGTTCCGAAAGTATTACAAACAATCCAGTCAGCTGCAAGTGAGTCCCAAATTACAGGAATATCTGTCTAAGTTCAAGAGCATCGAGGACTTCAGAGTTGTGGAGGTAAGGAAATGATTGATTATATCGAAAGCATGGCTACCTTGAGTCGGGTTCTCTTTGACCAAGTTACAACATCTTGTACAACATCTCTCGTTGAAATTGAAGAACACTAACAGCGTCTCAATGATTTCAGCCGCAAATAAACGAGATGCTGCAGACGTTCGCAGCAAACTCACGCACTCAGGCAGCAAAGCGACGCAACAGGAGCGTGTCGGAGAGCGCAGGTGGGGTGGAGGTGTCTCCTACGAACAGAGTCCGCCGTTTGTCAGGTGGTTCAAGCACAGTGACACTGCCAACAAGCTCGACTGTCGAGAGCAGTAATCCCGGGTCGCAAAAGTCTCGCGGGGACTCGGTAAACCTTTGTCAGTTCCGTAACCGGGCCGAATCGTTCGGCTCGGGTCGACTAGGCCATTCCAGGCGGCGAAACGAGGTCTCGAGCTCGTCTAGCAGCCAGCACGACCTGAGTAAACAACAGCCGCGCAGCAGACAGAATTCGGGTTCGTTTGTCAAGACGCAAGAGGTGAGCAAGTCACAGAACACTGCCAGGCAGCCCGGCAAACCCGAGCAGAGCAAGTCGGTCACGATCAAGACGACGGAGGCTGCAGCCAACGGCCAGAAGTGATTGTCCACGACCGGGAAGGGTAAGTGCAGAGGCACTTGCCCGATCGCTAATACGGACAAACGCGTCGCGCCTCTGTCACGATAAAAGCGAGAACTGAACGTCCCATTTTAGAAAACAAAACCGCTAACGAATCACACACACGCGTACCGAGTACCATGGCGTACACTGGCGTCTCCGAGGTGTGTAGGATCAGCACAAAACTGTGTCTCGGTCATTGTACATAGGAAAAGAAACACGAAAGTTAGACTCGATGCTGAGAAACGATTTGCTATCACACGGACCGGGAGACAGACGTATCCCGGTCGACTAGGGAAGTTCAGCTGTTCTTAAGGTAGTCTGTTAAGGTTGTATCTACCGATATTATATAGCTATGCTCTTGCTTATCGGGGGAATATGTACTGAATCATGCTGCGCGCGGTCGGTCCTCGGTTTTGTGTAGCGAATGACAGAGGGGCCAGATGAACCTGCGAATCAGGTGAATAGGCACGCACTGTGCCACGTGTTCGACGAATAGCGCGCTCGCTCAACACTGATGTCGCTCCTAGTCCGAATTAGATCAGTAGCCATTTTTTTATTCTCTCAAAGAAAGTAAACGACCGTTGTGCTGCTCTCCAATTTCAACATTGTTTCACTGCTTCATGCTTTTATCACACCGTCGAAGGTATTAATAATGGGGCACTCAAAAATGTTCGACATAGTTTCTTTTGTTGGTCGTTGTTTACAGTGGAAGCGTGTTCCGAATGAGAACAAGTTCCAACGAACATCTTCAAAACCATCAAAGATGAAAGGATGATTTAAATGGTCAAATTGTGCACTTTTTAAGAAGAAATCTAGTTGTGCAACCTAATTTTTAATAGTATTATTTGTTTAAACAATACATTATAAAATAGCATTTTTCTGTTAATTTTTCCAGTTGAATTGTTAATGCATTTTCTTGTATTTCGTGGGACAATCGAAATTTTTATTTTTACATTGTAAAGAAAGTGATATTTATCATGTATTATTTATACATTTAATGAAAAGTACATAATTTTACCATTTAAATTTCCTAACAGTTTTCAAGATCATCAGTCATTTTTTTCAAATTTATGGTCTGTTATCACCTTTTTAGGGTGAACTATGATCGATTAAAAGAAGCTGCATCTAATATTTTTGTTCGAACTGGCATCCAAGTGACTCCCTTCAATTTTTATTTGTTATGTAAACAAAATATTTTTTTGAGTTATGTTTGCATTAGTAAATGTAGAGAAGCATACAAACAACGCTTTTGACACTTTTATCTACTCGAGCAATTATAATATTCTTTTATGTAATAATTTCATAAGGTATTATTATTAGAGGTTGCTCAAAAAATTTAACAATCTATTAATCTATAATTTTTAAAAGGCACAATGGAAAACTTGAATTTTCCAAAAAAATTCACAATTAATCGTACATGAGTTCCATAAAAATTTGAGGGTATCACTGGACCAGCAGTCCCCCGTAACATTAGACAGAAAAAAAAAAAGATAAAAGTGACTTGAACTTTTGTGGTTCCTTTGAAAGAAAGGATCCTGATTATTCCAACGTGAATCTTGGAAACTTCGTCGGCGTTCAAAGATGTGGGATAGCGAGAAAACTGCGGAGTGTACAAATATTTTTCTAGCCACCATAGCGACATGTATCCGCCGTCGAATCTGAAAAACATCAATTAACTGTACGCGATCGTTGTATAACTTGTACAAAATGTTGAATCGATTGAGATATTAATCTCGAAATCGAAGAAAGATATTCTGCTCGTGGCCGGTGCACAATCATTGTATTTTAGAGATTTCATAGCTTCAGGTATTATAGTGTTCGTTTCGCGATTGATGCTATCGGCAGCGTTACGAAAGAAATAAAAAAAATATTATCGAAGCTGAAAAACAGTGAAGATTCGTGATGTACAGAAACAAAAGCGCAGAAACGCGAGGAAAATCGTCGTTTCACCTGTTAACAATTTTATGAGATCAATTGTACGCGATAGTAAGCTAAACAAATTAACTTTTATTGTAATATATAATGAGCGTATGATATTTTGTTGGTACCTATAAAAGATAAGGGGATCGATTAATTTTATAAATTATCTGATTTTTACAAAATTACCTATACGAATTTGTATAAATAATCTCAATCGATAAATGTAAAACTGAATATTTGTATTTGTTTGAAAAGATACAGACAATTTTAGGACTCGAAGAAGGGCTAGCATTTCTTTGGCAACCTCAACTGGTACCTTCATCTAAAGACCATTTATGATTTTATACTTTATACCCGAATAAATTTTCTGTCATCGGTGACACAGGCGACGAGTTAACTCGTCCTTGACGGTTAACAGGTGAACGACGCGATCTAGAAGATTCGTGAAAAAAAAAAGATACAAGAGGGACGAGAAAAAAATTCTGGTAAGGCTGCGCGGAATTTCTCAACGGAAGAAATTTTTGGAAACTGAAATGCAATCGGGAATATTCGTGTTCGACCGATCGAGGGAGAAGGAAGATTCCGTTTTTAAGGATAATTAGGAATTATTAATTAAGCATACGGTTTACGTAGAAATACGAGTTAGAGTAGCGATTCTTTGTCGGCGGGGGTGGAAATTTGGCTCTCCCGAGTTTCGCCCGAGCATGGGAGGTGAGAGAGAGAGAGAGAGATCCTAACAATAGAGCTATTAGAGAACAGCTAGTAGAACAATTAAGCTGTTCCGTAAGTAAGATTACTAGTAATTTTACTTAAGGAACCGCTTAATTGTTAAGCCGACTGTATTTATTTAAGCGAGCATAAACGAAAGATTTGATTCAACAGGGGAGTGAAACTTTTTGAAGCACGAATGGCTGGCTCATTCACGTAGCGCACACACACACACATACTGTTCTCGAATTTTTGTTCTCGCCATGTTTGTCAAAACGTGCAGAGACGACGCCTGGAATACTTGTAGATCTGTTCTTGCTACCTTTCTGTTTTTACTTTTCTTCTGTTTTTTTTTTAATATACTAGTCACGCGTTGAAAGTCAATAGCCAACGGCGAGTCTTGGGACCGAAATTGTCAACTCCATTTTCGCCGCTGTCCTCTGAATTCTCTTCTTTTTTCATCCTACGTATTCTTCGTAATATTGTATAACGATACCCCAAACGAATCCAAAGAGGCAACTGTGTAAGAAACGCTCTTGTTTGTTTAAATTATCTGTAACAAAATTGTATTTCTGTTGAAAAAAATATCATTTGTTTTACATTATTCGCGCGAAGCGGTGGTTCCAGTTTTCAAGAGATCAGATTTTCTGGGTATTCTGGATGCACCGGAGGATCTTGGGGACGCTTTCAAAATGCGAGATTGATTCTTAAACTGAAAAGTATTCTTGCTCGAGTTTTCTTTCATATACATATACGCATATATATTTTCCAATCTGAGACTTTGCTATCGCAAGACAGAACAGCTTAATGATTCGTTGATATACATCAGTCATAAGAGCCCTACATAGATATTAGTTAGAATTGGACAGATTCTGAAAAATTGCAAGATCGTGAGATTTTCAGCCAAGTGGTCCGTAGTGAAATCAACGAAATCTGTTATACATATAATTGTTACCGTAATCATAAATTTTATTTACTTTATGTAATCCGTTATCGCTATTTATAAACATTCTATAGTTCCTAGTTTGAATTTATGTGTAACTGCGCTCTTCTAGAAACTGTCTAATTCTAACTAACGAATCGGTTAATCTTTGTGGAGCATTCAAACATTCCCTGTTTCAAGTATTCTGATCGTTTTCTTAATTCGGACAATCGTTACTTGCACGCTACAACTTTCACAGCAATAACCACGAACTCGATAGACTTAAAACAGCAATAATTCCATCTACACTGAGTTGCGGTCAATCGGCGAGTACACCATTTTCTTTAGAGACGGAAATCTTTTCCTAATAGTCGAACAAATCGGACACGTGGTTGCCGGAATGTTCCGAGTGCATCAGGCTTTGGGAGGATTCATTGATATGGCGTTTGATCTTTTTTTTGTTCGACTGTCAGAGTTAGCAAAATGGTAGCAAGAGGAAGGATAGAAGATGGACGGAGGAGAGTGAGCGCGTCAAACCGGACGAAGATCAATTAGCACAAAGTGACAGAGCGAACTGTGAGAGAGAGAGAGAGAGAGAGGGAGAGAGAGCACAGGAGCGAAACTGAAACTAAACTAAACTGAACTAAACTAAACGTATAGAAATAATACATGACCTGTAAATAAATGCGTTCGATAGCGTTCGCATCGCCGTTCGGAACACGCGGCCGATGGTAGCTTTAGAAACTAACGCGTCGAGTTCGCGAGAAAAAAAATACAATTACCATACAAAAAAAAAAGAGTGAATACGATAGGTTTAGTTGAGCTAAGTTAGACTTAACGAGGTCTTAGTTTCGCCTAAAATTCGATCGTCCGAGCCGGAGGGGCTCCGCGCTTCTTCCGATCATCAGCGCCAGAAAATTGCGCGCTTGTGTCTTTAACGGTTGTTCCGCAAAATTCCGAGCAAGTTCAACCTGAGATTCGATACACATCGTGGACGAAGACACCACATCGTGGACCCTCGAAAGGGCTGTTCCTGGGCATTTTAACTTTGTCACCCCTGCTCTATGTGTATTCTAAACTGTTCTCGGTAATTATTTAATCCTGATCATGGTATCGGCGCAGGGTGCGAAAGAAGATTGTATAGTTCCGTGTCCCTCGTCCACGATGGAACAAACCTTCCAGGGAGTTTTCAAAAATGTCACGGCGCATCGAATTTGCCCCGACACTGTGCGATCTTTTATTTCCATTAGAGGAAGGCAGCGTTAGCCATTGTCCTTAAAATAAAGATCGTACGGTGCAAGGACAGTCTCGTGAAACACTGGAGATAAGTGATCGATAGAAGAAGATAAGTGATGATAAGTGATTGATAGAAGATGTGATTGATAGAAGATGTGATTGATAGAAGATGTGATTGATAGAAGATGTGATTGGTAGAAGATGTGATTGATGAAAGAAGTGATTAGACACATCACTCGGAGAACGTCAAAATCGATCGGGAAAAGTCGCGAAGTTCTCCTCTGGCGAACGACGATCATGTAGCATAATACTGTAAATACTTTCTATCGAGAGTCGTTGAAATCGTATCATCATTATTATATCGTTACTTATATACAGCCGCTTGATGGGAGGCATGCAGCGACCTTCGCGACCTTCGAGGATCGTTCGATGAACGTCGTCGCGTGACCCGGTCGGTGACCTTTATTTTGCTTTCGCGAAATTTTCATTGATATTGCGGAGAACAATGGGAGCCGGTAGAGCTTTTATTATCGATTTTTCTAAGAATGATGGAGCAATATTCGAAAAGCCAAAGTGATCCGGATCGTTAACGCCGCTCGACTCAGAGACATGCAGAGATGCGTTATCAAGCATTGGACACTGTGTCGCGTTGGCTCTCAACTCGGTCGAATAATGATCGCGGACGAAAGATGCAATCAGATTGAATAAAAACGAGAGACGCCGAAGGGGAAAGTCGTCCCTTTCTACCGCGTGCTCTTACGCGGGAAATGTTTTTAGTACGATTATAATTACCAATCAAAGTTTATGAGAAGTTCTCTTGAGAAAACTGTGCCTCTTCCATCAAGCTCGCCTGCGCACGCGTCTGCGTATATAAGTATACCATTATAACGTTAACGACTATTAATTTTACACCTAAGGCTTATTACTAAATATACACTCACGTGGGTGGGGGGATAAATCGGTGGAAGATAACGGGGGTTGGAAAAAATGTACGAAAAAAAAAGCGTTTCCTAATGAGATACACTTTGTACACGAGGATCGAGCCTTTTCACCGTCTCTTACGTTTACTTATCTCCGTATTTATGACTGATCGCTTGTGTTCGGTGTATCTTCGTTTTTCTTGTCGTTTAAGCTCGTTTTGTTTGTTTCCTTTCTTTTTAGTTGTAACATCGTTTCGAAGAGAATTTATTAAAAGGAAAAAAAAAATGAAAACACGAAAATCCAGAGTTGTTGATGGCGACGACCGGTTTCTTTAAACGCTCGAAGTCGCGTTTCCGCTGGGAAGATGTCGAAGCGAAAATGTCGCAGCTATCGATCGGGCCGCAGCAGCCTCTCGATGACAAGACGAGGGAAAAAGGACCGATCGAAAAGAAACGGGGATCTTCGCGAATGCGGCAACGCGACTTTAGACCACGGCCGACTAATTCTCATTGGTTTTCACACCTTGTTCGCCCCTTTTCACTTTGTCATTGGTCCGCCGAAGGGAATGGTTCCAAAAAATGCCTCGAATAATCTCGATCGAGGAGAATTGCGCGTGTTTGATCCTGTCGCGAGGCAAACTCGAATCGCCACTATTTTTCTAACTGGTTTTTGACAGCGTGTGTGTCGATCGTAGTTGACGAATTGATCTCTTTTTTACAACCGTCGAGCACGGTTAGGCGAAACCTTTTACCGTATAGCGTAGCTCCGAGGGAGAAGCGGAAAAAAAACTTGTCCTGAAAAATACACATACGACACACACACACACACACACACATACACCACACAACCGTAGACTGATCTTTCCGTAACGATAATTAACTTGCGAAAACACACACAGAAACCGTCTATTCGCGTCTAGTCGGTGAACGAGCGGATCGTTGATTATTGATTTAACACCGTCGGGATCGCAGGGTCCGCTTGATTTTCGAATCGTCGCCCGAACGATGTTCTATACGGGCGACGATACCTGCGACTTTCCAATAGTGGATGAAATTTTCTTTCGTCGAATCGGGAACAGAGAGATGGGAAAGGGGAAATTTTCGTTCGTACGATAGTGCCTTCGACTAAGACTTACTCTCCGAGAATCGTCGGTTTGCTCCTTTGGTACCAGATTGATCGGTCTGCGAACTCCTTTCGTTGAGGAAAAGGGCGGGGAACCCTTTCGTGCGATCCAGAATCACGGAAACGGGCCAGCTTTAATTGTTGATTGACGCATTGTTCATTTTGGCAAGTGGATACAATTTGAAGTAGTCGGAAAGAGTGCAAAGATAATTTAGGTCAGTCGTTTTCTTGAGGATTCGTGGTCCTCTTTGACTCGGTTTACCGGGGGGTGTGTTTCACGAAATGCCGTTAATTAAAATGTTCACGGTCCCTTTTTGCCGGCAGAAAAATGACGCGTTAACAGTGAAAGGGTTCGAGATCGATGCGAGCTCGTAATTCGAAAATCAAGCGAGACAGTGAACGACGGTCATCCCGACCACAGTAATCATATCCGGGCTTTTCGTTCGAGGAACTTATGGCCGGCGTATTTTTTCAGACTTAGCTACAAGAAATGCATACGTAGAGAGAATAGCGAGGGTTTTTCTTACTCTGGTCCGACCGTAAACGACGATCATTTTGCGTAAAGGAAATCGAATACGAATAAATAATCTGCTCTGTCGAGTAATCTCGGCCTTGTACATACGATATACATACTTAGCCTGTAAGATCACTATTATAATATATATATATATATACATACATCTATAATTATATATATATATATATTATAAATACGAATATAAATATAAAAAAAAAATATAGAAGACAGAAGGAGGGAGGGTATGTTTGAGATGAGAATGCTTGGTATGTCTGTTTGCGAAAGAGAAAGTAAATTAAACAAAAAAAAAGTATAACATACAGACATATATATGTATATGTATATATATGTATATGTATGTATATATATATATATATGTATATGTATGTATATATATATATATATTATTTACATAACGGTAGCTATAACGCATTGCCTAGGGACGTAACGAGATGTTAAGTGGGTGAAAAATGCGACGAGATTGAGGATGATGTGCGAGTGATTTTCCGAAGCCTGTACGCGTAGGAAGGTTGTATCGTTTATGAATGTATAAAATAAAAAAGATGAAAAACAACAAAAAAACCAAGCTGCAAAAGAAAGCTCTGTCTCGATTCTTCTACCACCCACGTTTATCCTAATCAACCTCATCCTTTTTTTTTGTACTGTGGAACTAGAGATCTGCTGATTTGAGGATCATAAAAGATATTCTGAGCTCGAATATTTCACACGATTACTGAGCTTTTAATTTATGACCATAAAAGTTCAAACATTTCTATGGGAATAGATCGTTTGATTGATTCGAGGTGTCCCATGAAAATCGGATCATTTTCCTACAATTTAGCGGTTTCGTTTTATTGGTCTTTTGACGCGTTTGCGAATTGTTATTATTCAATTTATACGATAATGGCGCCTCTTCCGGCGAAGTGTTGAAACTCCGTTCGAGATTCGTACAGCGCCAATTAGGAGATGGCAAAACGCTCAAACTACTAGGTAAACAGCGGCGCCGTTTGCGGCGAAATCTGGAAGCTCAGATTTGGCTAGCAGTTTCAGCGTTTTGCCATTTACTAATTGGCGCTGCACGAACCACGAACGGAGCTTCTTGATTTCGCCACAAGAGGCGCCACTTTCGTTAGTTTACGCAGATGATTGTTAACGAATTTTACATTGTTTCTTATGGCGAAAGTGGCAATAATTATCTGTTCTCTATATTTGGAATAATAAATTAATTTTTTTCAGATGACATTCAGATAGAAGAGTTTCCTGAACACACACACACACACATTCTCGTACCCTCAAATTATGTATTTAGCACTGAAATTGTCAGTTTTCGTCGACTAATGTGTAAATAAATTCTTCTTGGAGGACAAATTTAGTTCGATCGTTTAGAAAACTATAAATCAACATAATTATGATAATTCATGGTAAGGTATGAATGTATAGCGTTATTTTGTGTTCGATAATATTAATTTTGGTCATTAGTTACTCAGTTATGTAAATATTTCCAGGAGGGTGAGAAATGATCCTGATAAAAGCGATTCTACTGTATTGGCTATATACCTTGCTTGTGAAATGTTAATATAAGATGTAACGCGGTCGGTGCTCGTGTGCCTGTTTACATAGGCCACTGGTTTCGCCGCTGTCTCCTCGTTTTCTAACGCGAGCTACGAGACAAGTAGACACGTTCGTAGATTAGGAGGTCGAACGTTGGTAAGCCGAGAAGAGAATGAGCTGCTTGTTTTGTCCGTGGAAGAAATCGATACGTCGGGGGAAAACAGTTTCTCGGGAAATTGCCTCTTTCTTAATCCTTGTGTTAATGAACTGACTACCCATTTTCTTGTTTCCTCCGACAACTCGCTATCTTTTATTAAACGCGCCACAAATCATTTCCCATAACGAAAGTCGATGCAACAGATTGCCAAAAACTGAAGCCACAAGCTCGAGTTTCAACAAGTTACGTTCCAATAAAATGAATCTACTGAAAAATAATATAAAATTATTATTATTATTATTTATTAATTTTATTATTAAATTAATAATAATAATTATTATTATTATTATTAATTATTAATCTATTAAAAATAATATAAAAAATCTAATACGCGTAATGCGGTTATTGGAATATGTATTGGCAAACAGTGGGATTCCGACGACGTCATTAACGGCGATGGCCTTTCAAGGGTTGCAAGTGCAGCCGCAACACGTGCTTAAAGCACCCTTGGGACACGTCCTCCCTTCCGTGGGAAAGCTACCCTCGTATTTTCACGGTCAAGTATTTAGAAAGGGCCGCCGCGCGCCCTCATCGACCGATTAACAACTCGGCCAATTGAAGAAGCCGGTGTTTCAGAATCTCGCTTCTCCGAGTCAGTCTTTTTTCGACCCGTAAAAAAGTTCCTGGCAATTAGCCGGTGCAATCGGAAAGATCATTCGTTCTAACGGAGACGATGCTTTCAAGCCTGCCGCTTGGAAGCTTCGGCTTCCGACGATGATCTCGTATCGTGAAGTCGAACTTGATTCTGGAAGGATACATTTTTCAGGACGTGTAAACCCCTCGTCAGATCTAGCATAAATAATCAAAAATCTAATGCTTAGCATATCTTCACAGTGGATCACAGCCTTGAACTCATCGCCGTGCCATTTTTTACAGTTACAGTAATTAGAACTTTCTCGATTGTAATAATTCCTAAGATGAAAAAAAGACAATTTATATTTATTGTGTATTTATATCTATCTGAATGTTTAAATATTGGTGAGAAGAGAATAGAATTTGATTTATTACGAATATTTAATTTTTCACTTAACATTAACATATACTGTATACATAATAAACGAAAAACGCAGGAAAAGCAAATACTTATAAAAGTTAAAAATTCAAATTGCTGCTGTAGAGTGGTATTCAGCAAAGCAATGAACGATACGTAATGGCACTTTGCACATCGAACACTAATATCGTGATTCTTTTCTAACATTATTTTTATAACAATGTAAACACCTTCGCGTGTAGGATTGGCCTTAAAATATCCTAAACACCTTGAAATTTGAGAATATATTTTTGTATTCATCAAAATTACAATTCAAATAGTCAATGGTCACTACTTTTTTTACGCGCGACGAGTACACTCGTCATGACACAAAATACTGCTACTTTTCCGCGACGAGTATACTCGTCAAACACAGCTAACTGGTTAAATGGATCTAATCATGGCTGCCATAAAATCATCGATATTTTGAAGTTCAAAGTTTTTTGCGATCGAGTGATGGGTTCGATGACAATGTCCTCTCGCAAGAGAACGAAAAACAAAGTAGAGCTCATTACTAAAGATCTCCACGAATTTAACTACGTCCTTCGCGCGGCAGGACGAGTGGCGAGTGAGAAGCGACAGTCGGTGTTTATGTTAGATTTTGTTATCTCCAACATTGTTCAACGTACTGTTTTATGAGAAAGACCCTGAAGTGGTGGCACAAATTGTTTCCCTGGCGACTGGAAATTTGTTTAATCAATTCGTACATTCTCTACAAACATGTAAAAAGGCAGAGAAACGAACAGCCAGTTACACATTCGAACTTTCGCAAAATTTTGATCAACAAATTGAGAGGAGATAGATCTTCAAGTTCGACGGCCAACTCTGACGAAATTCGTCTAAACGGGAAACTGCATGTAATTGTTGCTGGCACAAAGAAAGATTGCAAAGTTTGTTCCAGTCGAAACAAACCATGGGGAAGACATGAGACGACCTGTTTCTGTGATACATGTCCAGATAAACCAAGAATGCATCTTAGTCAATGTTTTATAAAATATGACACCAAACGAAACTACAAATCATAATTTTTGTAAAATTATATTCGTAAAAGTGTGAATATAGATAAACTAACGAAACATAACGTTTTTGTAAGATAATTTATATATGTAAGATCATTTTATTGTACCATATAGGACATTCGACATATTTGCAAAAATCGCCTTGTCCTGCTACCTGACTCGGTCGAAAAAATCGTCCGCTAATGGTTAAAATGTTACCGTCAGGCACGATTTTTGATTTCCTACAGCCACTATGAAATTCTTGTAGAGTTTCACTCTCTCATCAAGTATCCGAAAATCGAATTGCTCCATCTTCCTCAGTTTTCGAAAAAAAAACGAGCTTGTGTAAAAACCCAGAATTTTCGACGAAAATGAGGTATTGCATGAAAAGTAAAAACCTTAGAAAGTTCTAGTGATCCGTCTTAAAAGATAGAGAGTTTTCCGAATGTAGTGCTATACAATTTGTTAATTGTTTTTAATCCCAAATAGCTATAAATTAATATCAAAGTTTAAAAAAGCGTCGATGAGCGTAGTTTCTCCGCAATATTTTTGTATTTTTACGAAAAGTTCTTTGTTCAGCACGAAAACTCTACGCATGATAGGATTCTGTAGACATTTCTGAAGATAAAACGACTTGATAGAAGCGTCGGTACAATTTACATTTTGAGCAGGTAAAGAAAATGCTTTCCAAGCGTCATAAAAGTGAAAGTGTCAATTAGCATACAGTGATCGAAATAAAAAAGGGGAAAAGGGTAAATCATAATTTTTGTAAAATTATATTCATAAAAGCGTGAATATAGGTAAACTAACGAAACATAACGTTTTTGTAAGATAATTTATATGTAAGATCATTTTATTGTACCATTTGTATGGTATATAAATGGTACAATATTTGCAAAATGGACATATTTGCAAAGATCGCCTCGTTCTGCTACCTGACTCGGCCGAAAAAGTCGTCGTCCGCTAAGGGTTAAGATCGAAAGGACAGAAACCGCAATTATTTCTGCACCGAACGGATCAAAGCGGACAACATTAGCAAGCCCCGACGATGACCTGTAATCAGATTACGCATCGACGTTATTGCGAGCCCGCATAAACAAGTGACGCGGGGGGTGCCGAAGCAGCGCATTTGGTAATTGCGTGGAAGTCGATGGCAGGTCGTGATTGCGTAAATTGGGGTGTCGTTGTCGCAGCCAGTGGCAGCGGCATTGCCAGCAGAAGGGAAAACGATGAGGACGCCCCGCAGAGACGAGCGCGGGGAGCGGATTTCAGGCTGTGGATCCTGACATCGCGACAGCCACCGACGACGTGTGGTCGACATCTGCGAGCCCACCGTTTTTCCGCAATGGAAACGCGTCCTAGAGGCCACTCGTTGTCTTTCTGTCCCCTACCCCACTCGCTTCCAGAGAGAATAAATTATTTATAGCCGCGGCAGTCCTTTTTTTCACGCTCTATTAGCATGCACAATGAACCGCTGTCTGGACAACGGAGCACCGTTGCCGATTTTATGGCGAACTGTAAGGGGTAGGTGTGTTCTCGCCGTGCGACGCTTCCTTGATGGCGAAACAGATGTCGGCAACCTTTCCTCCATTCTCCATGCTATAACTCAGATCGTTGCGACACCCAAGGTATAATTATATTTATATTATATCTCAGATATGTTGGGCGAAAGATCGGCTTGCAATCGTTTTGCCACACGTCTCGATATTTAAATTCTTGCTTCTCTAAATCACTTTGATTTTATATTAGGCTGTATAACAAGACTTCTGACGCCTAGAAAAAGACACGGAAAATCACACGAAT